TGTTAATTTTTTTAAAAACTATTAGTAGTTTTCGTGCAATATTGCCTGCAATATTTGCAGTTTCAAAAAATTACAAAAACAAGGTTTTCTCAAAAACGGTTTCAAATTATTCTATAAACTTTTAGTAGAGGTAGTGCTAAATGCACTCTATAAGATGACATAAACGCTACATTGCTCTATCCTTTTGTTTTTTCAGTAATTCCAAAAATGTAATTTTTGACGTGTCTTTCACGTTAACATTTACACTAGCGGCGATTTGTTCACATTAATGTATATATGAGGACATGTTCTTGAAATAAGGTCATACAAAGTTTCTCGACAACTCAACAGTTTTCTGTGAAAATCTCAAAATTCCGCATTTTCAGAAACGCTCAAACGCCATTTTCTCAATAAGGTTGCAATTTTTTCTTCAAACTTTTCCAACGGATATTGCTAATTGCACTGTTTAAGATGACATAATCAATTTTGCTGAATTATTTTTTTTCTTCAAAATTTACACAAATGTAATGTTTATAAGTATCTTTCATGCATTTAATATGCACATTTCCAGAGATTTGTAAACACTATTATATTTGAAATGACTTCTTATGAAGTGTTTCGAAAACTCAGTAGATTTCTGTGAAAAGGTAGAGAGAGGTTCAAATTTTCGAATCATATCACCGCAAAATACTATATTTTTAAAAAGGCTCCAAATACTTCAAAGAAAATTGTCATTTATGACGAGTGGTTTCTGTTTTTTTAAAATTCTAAAATAATATTTTCGTTATACTATTAGTAAACGATAGTATTAGTTCAATTTCAAAAAAATATGTGAAAAGTACTTCAAATTTCGCATTTACAGAAGCGCTTATACGATATTTTCTCAAAAACAGCTTCACATTTTTCAACGCAAATTTCCACAGGACGACGTTTTATTGTTCTATATTATTCCCAAAGTTATATTTCATTTTTACCATTAGTAGACTAAAATAAATTGAGAAAAAGTGTGAAAAAAGTACTTTGGGGAGGACAGATGGCTGGGAGAAGGTTGGAGCAAGACCGAAAATTTGCTCAGTCTAAGAAATTAGAAAACGAACTTGTACGAGCCAGTTTGTGCCATTCGGTAGCACCACTAGTTTTGTCCGCGTATTCAGAATTGCGAGATGACAATGCGAGTTGCCCCACGTCAAGACGGGATCAATCCGCCTCTCTGGGGCGACCTCCATCTGCACCGCGTGAATGTTGGGAAAGTCGCGCGACGGCGTTGAGAATATTTTCTTGAAGAGTGGGACCTGCTTCTGGGAATATCAATCAATCAATCAGATTAAGTGTAGAAAGTATCTAACTAATTTACAAGAGATATTATTTGTCACAGAGGTGTAACCTACGAAGACTTCAGTTATTGCCGGTCATTGAGTTCCCACATTTGTGTGTCATTGCTCTCGACATGAAAATGTACTATTAAACATTTTTTATTCAGTGAGACATTATATATATATATATATTTATATATATATATATATATATATATATATATATATATATATATATATATATATATATATATATTGACTTAATAAATATTTTGTTAATGTACTTTAAAATTCTGTCAGTTTATTTTAATGATTTTTAATGTTTTATGAGTACGAGCGTATTTTGATATTTCACATTAAATCCCCCTTTACATATTTGTTATATATTCATATCATTTTCATTACATATTTATGTACATATTTTGCCGTTTCATTCTGGTTAGTTTTCCGGGCTCTACCTATTACGCATGAATTATCTCAAGGCCGAGAAGCAGAATTGCGCTTGTTGTGCCATCTGTTGGTACCATGGTGAGTCGAATCCGCTCAACCTTTCATTTTACCACATTCAGTGCTATCTAGTGGGCGGCGTTGGACCTACTCCAGTAACGCCAGACTAGAAATGAAATTGAACGTAGTAATCATTATGAAATGTATTTTCATTCAATAATATTTTTTAGCCCTCAAGACATTCAGAATATATTAGAACCATTTTATTTTACAGATTATTATAACCATTTACCTACATATTTTTACATACTTCACCAAAAACTACACATTTCTTATATTTTAATATGCTATTTATAGTTCGAAACGAATCATGCCACATGTAATCAATAATGAGCGGGTGTTTGAGAAGCAAAAGTAATTTTAAACACGTGCTTACTCATGTTTCATAGAGTTGATGTCAAGAACTCCATCGTAAACTAAGAACTTTATTTACAGACCGTCGTATCACATTGTTAGCTTGAGGTGGTAAAGTTCCCTTTACCCCCTTCCTCTGGATTCAATCGCTAGCTATACCGTACCACTTCACTTCACTTCATCATTGTCACCGTTCTTTGCTCGGGGAATGCTTGTGTAGAGCAATTTTAAACGCTATAATGAATTTTAATTTAACAAATTTGTATTTTTTCTAACATAGTTTGGAAAAAATAAATACACATAGTGGTAGAAATTAGTATAAATGCACTAATGTTATGCAAAGAAAATAATTTAGTCAGACCTAGTACGTAAAATATATTTTATAACAAGAATATTCTATTTTTGTGAAATACAACAAAGTAAGAACAACTGTAAGTGAAGATATTTGTGTAAAGACACCTTTGATTTTTACTTTCTCCTGTATACGTAGATATATACGTAGAAATAGACTATGGAGAAATGTTATGAAATGCCTCAAAAATGTCGATTTTTCGACACAATTACTCTTATTTGTAGGGCCTTGATACAGAAAAAGTTGATTAATCCTGTTCTGATATGTAGTGAATAACTCCCTCTAACACATTTGTACTCAGATTTCACGAAATGTGAGTCCTTTACAAAGGCGTTTTCTTGAAAATATCCATCCATCTGTCGGTCCGTCTGCAACATTTGCGCCTGAACTGTGAGTAGGATTGATTCCAAACCGAATACTTCCGGTAGATCTGGCTCACTCCAAGTTCTGCGAATTTGAATATCATTCAGTAATTTTTGGAGGTTCATTACGTGAGCCCCCTCCTCCCTGCTTAAAAAATGCTCCCTGCTTAGCTAATTTTTTCTTAATTTTCTTCAAGAATAGGGTGAAATACAATGGTGAGATAGATATTCACTGTTAACTGAAGTTTCGCGAATTACAAAAGTTTGCAATTTTTTGGCGTCTTCCAATAATTACAAAATTGAAGAAAGACATTTTTCGTTCAAATAAAATTTGGTATTCATAATAAGTTATTTTTTTGACGTCATGAACATTTTTTGACAGTTTTAGTAGTCTTCTGGCAATATTGGTTGAAATGTGAGCAATATTCAAAAATATCAAAAACAAACATTTTATAGAAATAGCTCCAAATGTTTTCTTTAAACTTTTCGTATGGGTAGTGCTAACAGTATTGTATAACATAACATAACATAACATAACATAAACGCCACTTTGCTTTATTATTTTCTTATTGTTTTTTCTTTCAAAATTACACAATTGTATTTTTTTTATATCTCTTACGTTGTAAATACGTATATCAGCGGCAATTTGCATACATAATGAACTAAAAAAGTTAAAACAAGTGTTTCAAATGATATTTTATAAAGTTTTCTCGAAAACTCATAAGTGATGTGCGAAAATGATCTCAAAATTTCGCATTTTCAAAAAATTACTCGATCGCCTGTTTTCGAAAACGGCTCCAAATTCGTTCTGCTAGGTTTTTTGTGCCGAGAGCGCTAAATGCAGTGAATAAGATGACATGAAAGCCATTTTGCAATATTCTTTTGTTGTTGTTTTTTTTGGAAATATTACACAAACGTATTTTTTGTTGAATATGTCTCACCCTTTGCTACTATTCCGCCTTCCTAAAACTACAGAGAAACTACTAGGAGAAGGGGTCGCTTTGACAGATACTGCTTGGCCTCGGCGGCAACAAATGCAGGTTGTCCATGAACTCACTCAATAGACACTAGTACAAGGCCTGTCGACTGACAATGTGACGTCACATGGGTAGTCATTGCGGTAAACGAATCTTCCGCCGACTGCTTACTGTCAGTCAACGTTTAATTAAAATGAATTTTTGCAATATTTTATCGTATTTTATTCATTAACAATTAATTTTAACTCAAAAGGGATTAATGATTAAACGATTTTAAATTTAAAGTATTGCCAAATTTTAAAATATTGTGCTTCTCAAAGTAGCACATATCTTTGAGGCAACTAAATAATTCTGCATGCATCACACATTTTCAATATCAGGAAAATGTATTTCTTCGTTATCTTGATTTAACCAGTTATGTCTTAAGCATTTCAAGAGGTACATATTGTCAAAAGAAAAAAGGAATTTTCTTTGGGATTGAAGTAGACGTTCATAAGTTATTTCTAGTTTTGGAGGATCGGAACACAATGACATGTCATTTCCGTTTACAGATTTGTTGTCAGAAATCACTCTAAAAGCAATATTTTCAAGCCCCACAATAATCATTTTAATACAATGGTTTAGCAACTCATCTGTCAATTTTCTGATTGAAAATATATGAACTATATCTTTATATCATGAAATCATACTAGTTACTATTAACCCCCAAGCGGTTGATGCATTTTCCTCTTCATTAATGGACGTTCCAACTATACTTCCTCCTTTATGGTCAACATTTGCCTTCAAAAATATTTTTAATCCATTAAGTGCACCTCGGTCTTGTCCTTTTCACTCAACAAACTCACTTTCTTTCCTACGCACTACAATGCATGGTCTGAATTTTTCTTCACTTTTGTGGCGCTGAAACTTGTGGAAAGCAACTTCAAAGTAGAAGTGCACGACAACTTCACGTAACCCAGCCTTCTAAAGGTTTTTACAAATTGTTGCAAGTACTTCTCTGTATCAAAGTTGCTCTGCTGCAAAGATCTGTTGACACAAATTAAAATCATTAGTATTACACCATTATATGAACAAACCACTGTTCTCAAGAATTTCTATACACGACTTTCACAGTTCACACTGATTCGCACGCTGGCCACATTTGTGCCCAAATGTAATGTTACTACTACAAGTAGTGAAGTCAGAAGCAAGATGGCCGCCTGCCAATAGGCCTGATGTTTCAGGTGGCATTGACTCATTTTGTCAGTTCATTCGGTTACAACTAGCTCATTTGTAAATAAATAGCTTCATCACTGTCTCTGGCTCTGTCATCGCCGTGCGTGTCTTTCGTTTGTTTCCCGACCTGTAGAAGTAATTTTTCTATTACCTCTTCATAGAGTAACTCATTTATATAATATTGAAGTTAGATATTTTTTCCAGAGTGAAACTTCTTAAAAATTACTTCTTTAAATAATGTCTTGTACAATTTTCTTAGAAAAGAAAGAAAAGTACTCGCACAATATTCAAATAAAGACAATTAATTTCAAAATATCTAAACAGCATCTTCAATTTTTTTCTTGAGATAGATACGCGGAAGTATGCGTATTGAATCCCGCGATCATCTTTTTTAGGCCTTTTGCATGCCTCCCCAAAAATGTCCCGCTTGCATCCCGTTCGGGTCTCTTCAAGGAAGGGCTCGTTAGATGCTTTCATGATCGCCCTTTCGCTTTCATACTTGAAGAACATCCAAAATAAAAATACCAAATGTTACTTTTCACTTTGTTCATTTTCTATTACTCGTGTATTGTAAGAGTAATGAGAATTCGTCATTTTGGAATTACACTGTTCCACTCATTTCTACGTGTAGGTGAAGAAACTGTGCGCCCCTGGTCTTTCCTTAAATACGCACATTAAAATAAAATAATATAGTTAGATATTTAACAGAAAATATAGTTAGATATATAAAATATTAGATAGATTACATACACCGTTCCAAAGATTCAGCCACGTTCATCTGTGTTCCAGTTTTTGTATGGAATGGTTTGTGTTACTTATGAATGGAAATGCTCCTCTTCTCCCGCCCCCTCCCCAAACACCGGCCGTAATATTGTGCTGCACATTCTCATGTCTACAGAGATCTCAAGTGATGTCCTGAGCCATCTCTGCCGATGTTTTGCTTTCTTCTGTTGTAGAATGTATTGTTGTTCTGGTCTTTTTGATATCCATGGTATATTACAATGTTGAATTCCTTGCTTAAGAGATTCTAGCACCGTCTTGTGACACGTCCTTTGCCATTACGAGATGTAGCTTGAGCCTATCATTCATTCGGCAGTAATATTAGAGTTGATAATTCACCGTCCATTATGACTGAAGACCTCCGTCGACGGATGAATGGCGATGCGCAATTGAGAATGTCTGTCATGTTGCCAAAATGTCGCTACATTGCTTGCGGTATCACGTAACGTACGTAATTGCGAAACCTTATAGGGTTGCTCATCGATGTGTCCATTCTTTACAAAAGAAAGATCAATTTGCGATGCAGATAAAAACTTCCACTGCCACATACGTTACGGCATATTTTCCGATTGGGAAATGTCATGTGAAACCGTGAACCCTCGCTCACTCAACTTATAGTGTAAAGTCAGTTGTTTCTAATTCCGAATCGAACAAGCATTGAAAGAAAGCAAAATATCATTAATCACCAAAAAAAAAAAAAAAAAAACCTTCGTGAATAATATTGCAATGTGTTATGAAGACATTTTCGCTTTTGCAATACGAATATCTGCGTTTGCTGCAATGTGGGATTCCCAGCCTTGGACAACACGTTTCATAGAGTGGCTTTTCTGTTTCCTGGGACAAATTTTCTCTATGAGGTATTTCATAGTGGTAATGTCTGTCGGATTTTTCTCGTCGTTTTCTCGTCGGGCAATTATTTACTATCAAGACACTAACTATTTCTTCAATAATTCATCTATTTATTTACTTTAACAATTACCCTCTTTGTACTCGTATGTCGAAGTCGATCCGCTGATAAAATTTGTTTTGCGTGTTTGGCAAGACCGTCTATACAGATTCGCGATTGCTTTGGAAACGGGAATTTTCCTTACCATTTCTATAAATAATAATACCTCTTACAAAATTAAATTAAACATTTTATTCTCTTGCTCTACTACCTCACACAATTGAAATTTATTAATATCTACTGGAAGACTTGGTCTTCTTACACAAGTATTAATAGGTGCCATTTAATCCCTTTCCTGTTTGAGCCCGCTACATTATTGGCCGTCTGTTCTCAGGTACATTTTCAATTTTCCATTTTCAGCATAGTCCAATTATGACGTGGCTGCTCCCTTTCCACATGAGATTTATACTAGCTGTATTCCACTTGCAACGTTCATACTACTACTATTAATACACTCAATTTATTCATTTGACTATTACCATCTCTACTCTTTCGTCAACACGTCTTTTGTTCCGTCTGTTCATAACACGCGCTTTTCTTCTGTCTCTAAATGCGCTCAGTACAGTACTCATTTACGTTTCTCTTTTGTTCAGCTGCGCTGAGTCTCCCCTTCCTCGCACGCCTTCTCATTCCTCATTGGCTAATCTCGCCCAAGCATTTTCTTCAGTTACTCCATGAACTATCGATTCTTGGGTTTGTTTCATAATTTAATTAATACCCACGAAAATTACTCACTTGTCCATATGATATTGTAATCACTACCAATTCGAATATTTTTTCCTCTAATATTAGTCACACTGCCCTTCCCTTACATTTTCATTATTTTCAGTCGCTGTATAATTTCTTTATATTATTCATTGTTGATGTCGTTTATCCAGTTAGAATGAATACGAAATTTGTTTAAATTCCGTGTACCTTGTGATTAATCATCGTAGATGGGAGGTAAGCTGATGTGCTCGTCTGTTTGTCGCAGACGCGTGTCTCCGCTGCCAAGCCGAGAGCAAGCAGGACGCCCGCTACGGCCGCCAGGACTGCGTGGTGGTGTGGGGCGAGTGCAACCACTCCTTCCACTACTGCTGCATGTCCTTGTGGGTGAAGCAGAACAATCGTTGCCCGCTCTGCCAGCAGGAGTGGTCCATCCAACGCATGGGGAAGTAGGGGCGGAAGGAGTGCCACTCGCGGGGAGGAGAGGGTATTGCTTTGTTAAACGATGCTTTTGTATGGTGATAAACAAGGCATTATTTATCAATTCGTGTTGGATTGTAAAAGAATGAGAAAATGGAAAAATTGTAGACTGTAATTGGATATCATCAATCAATAAGAAGCCTTTTTAGTTATTTAACTTTTTTTTTGCTTTCGTTTCTTTTGACAGTGTTTAATATTTCAAAATAATTTCAAAATTAATAAATTCTGACTATTAAATGAATGTCTTTGTGAATGTAAAATACGTGTATTCATAATGAATATTGTAATAGGTTATAAATGCCAATAAATTGTTTGCCTGTGGTATAAATTTATTTTGTTACCCAGAATTCTATTATTTTTACGGGCCATACTGGTCTCACCGAAATCCCAATATTTCAGAATATTAGAAGGGCGTACCGAAGTATGACACACTGGATGCTTTTACGCACTTCAATATCACTGTAGAGTATACAGAATAATCATGAAAACTCGGCCTATAGAATTGCTTTTTAGGAATCTAAGTCCCTTGCGTTCAAGTTCACTCTTAACTCCTCTTGGTAGCAGTGGCGGACTGAAGGCTGCACCTCCATCGAATGACGGAAGTGTAATTTCTAAAATTCAAAATATATAATTATTTCTAAAATTACAAAATATATATTCAATAAATATATAAGCAATTCAAATGAATTAAAACTAAGTTAAATAAAAGTCTATATTGAATCATAATTTTAGGCGTCTTGACCAAGTCAGGTCATACACCTCCCGCGCACGTGGCTCTGGCTTTGATTTGTACTAGACACTTAAGTTTGACTCTAGCGCATCGAAACAAGCACTATTGTTTCGACATGTTACACACAATTAAAATTATTTTATTTTGAAAATATCACTATCCTGTTATATTTTGTAACAAAGATCCTTCAACACACGCTCATATTCGACCGAGCGCTCTCCGTGGTAACTGCTGCATCTACCGAGAGAGGGACTTCCATCCTGAACTGCCAACTTTCCACAAAGAATTCATCATGTGTACATTTTAAATAAATAAATAAATAAATAAATAAATCTATTATCAAATAAAAACAAATTCTCTAAACACCATAAATAATGCATTAAATGCTGTCAACAATTGACTGAACATATGTACTTTTATTAACAAGTGAAATGCCCAAAGTTATGTTGCAGCGAGTCAGACGGAGATAGGCTCCCTCCATCGCCGCTGCCCGTCTGGTGGCCCGATCGGTGTCCCTTTGTTGCCCTATTAAATCGAAGGGCCTAAGAGCAAATGCAGTAAACTCAGTATAACAGCCAAGAGCGTGTTGCTATACGCGGCAGAGAGAGAACGGCAGTTGGGCGCTCTTTGGTTTCAAAACGATTTCATCTACATCGATATTGCGGCAATATCTTGAATATTGAATGTCATTAAAAGGAAACTGTATATTCCTAAGATATTAAGAGATATTTTTTGATTATATCTGGGGGTTGTGCAACCTAAGCACGAGCCGACACTGCTTGTTGGTGTATTTCATGAAGAATAGAAAATGAATAAATAATAGAAATGGTGATGGAGTCGTTTATGCATCACAGACACGAGAAAAAATATCTGGTGACCGGGATCAAAATCTATAGATAAAGCCAAGAAGTACATATTTCCCGTAAAAATGCATTCATTAATAACTTAATACTTCTACTTATTTAAGGTCAAAAACAATTAAAATGTGTGTGACATTCAATGGTGAGAAGTGTGTTCTGTGTATGTTTCTTAAATTTTTGAGATCCTACCCTAACCTATATAGAAGTTGAATTCTGAATACAGCTGGAAATGAGCAAGTTTGGCAAGAATTGATAAGAGAATATTCGCTCCCATGTAATAAAAACTATTTGCGAAGGCAAAGCAGCTATAGAATTGAGCTCATCCTGCCCTTCGTGAAGGAATCAACTTACTGTCGCAAGAACACGGAGAACGATAATTTGAATAACTATATTTCCTAATGAACTCTAGTAAACGTGCGCCGATATTTAAGTTACATTTGTGTCCAGAAGCAAAACAAGGGCCCGTCTCTTTATTCGCTCAAAGGATCAAGGAACCTGGTTGAAAAAACCTGATCCAGATGGTGGTCATTGGCCCGAAAGCTGAGGTACAAAACTTGTCACAAATTGTTTAAAATTATACAGTGCAAATTGTAACTAATACATTATCATAGTTAAAATTAACATTTTTCCCCTTCTGATTTTCGGTAAAGTCTCTAATTGTATAGAAACAGTTATGCGGGAAAAACATTTTACTTGCCACTTAACCATGCTTATCCATTTGATTCGTTTAATGTGATGAGGCCCCGGCTACCGGTGGCGCACGACGCACACGCCGAAGGCATTGATCGTGGTCTTCGGGCGCGAGTTGCGACGCTTCAAAGCTGGCCCAAAGTCCAAAAAGCACAAATTACACACCTGGCACTCAATTTGCGCCTAATATGAGACTAATGCCGTTACATACATGAATAGAATTTCAATGCATCATTCTAAACCTTCGGAACTGAGCTGGAAAGTGCTTAAGTTGTGCCGAGTGTGATACATAAAGCCCATATTGGTGTAACCAGTACTCAGCAACTTCGCTAGATATGCATCTGCTCAATATCTAAATTTGTAGATGTAGGTATTCTTATTTTCTAATAAAGACTATTTCCATTTTTGTGAATTGTTTAAGTTATTATAAATATAAATTTTCTCACTTTGATCGTACAATATGATCGTATATCGTAATTTTCTTCTAGACGTTTATTTGTTACCTTCGAATACTTTCGGTTTGAGACAAATTGCTCCACGTTACAGAAAGTGTGAAGAAAATGACCCTGTTAAAAGAGTACAGTGCGTTGCGATTTCATTCTGTGGAACATGCACTTCATACTGCATATTGCGTCTTCCTGGCAAAAGTCAATTCTTGGCGCAAGTTAAGGGAGTAAATAACATTTTGAACACTTGTATTACAAAATGAACATTTCTTCTTTCTAGGCAAGTTTGTGCAAAATGTTGAGAAATGAAGGATGTGAAATGCTGTTGAAAGCTTCCGGTCGCCGCATGTAATTAATGAAAATACCGCATGTTATTAGTTGTTTTTGCCACCTTTCTGATACTGAGAAAATATCAAATGAGCTGTTTTCAAGACAACGGCAAACTTTACACAGTTTTTGTAATAAAGTGTTTGCCAAATGGGATAAATGCAATTTATTTTGCTGACTGAAATTCCTGCACCACAAGATCCCGAAGATTCTTCGATCGTAGGACGCCCATCGATGTCAGTTGCAGCGAACAGAAGGAAACTAGAAGCGCTTCGTGAGACCTGCGCTCCGAAGGGGCAGAAGACGCAGCTCAGATGGAGGAAGCCTTCAAACCTCCAACCCAAGGAATAGAGATTGTCTGCTAGCGCTGTGAAACGTTTTCTTTCATGGTCAACGCGCAGCTCACTTAACACCAATAGCAGGTTGTTCGATTGGTTCAGAGAACGGGGAGTCAAAGTCGCCCACGAGACAACGAAGGGCTGCCGAGGAACGATGTTGTCCGGTTATGGAACTTGTACTTTCGGCGTCACTCGACCACCGTTTTTCGGATAATTTCCGCTCACCCAATGTCTTACCCTTTCAGACCACATAAGACCATTTCAGTGATACATACATGTTCATTTCCTGTTCTGCACCAATTCAACGTACAATCTCTTCACCAGAAATAAAATCTGGTTTATTGCAAAATCCTCAACCTTTATCGATTTGTTATTGCAGAACGATTAAGCTTCAGATCCGAAAAGAAACAGGTAGCTAATTAAAAGTAAAGAATGTATGCAAAATCAAATTCAACAACTCAAGTCCGCATCTTTGTTTTGATTGACGGCCTTCTAGGCAATTGTTTTCACGACATGCTTCTGTCTAAGGTGGACGAAAGGTATGAGACACTCTGACAACAAATTCAATGCAGAAATGTTGTATCTGCAAAGCAATTCCAAAGGAAATGAAAGAAGTAGATGAAGCTTCAAAGGAAGTCTGTATCCCAAGAAAATCTGTAGTTTGGTCTCTGTTTCTCCACATGCGTAAACATTTTAAAAATATTTTATTTCATTACAGAATACATGAACAGATAGGACAATTCTAATAATGTTCATAGTAAACCAAAGATACGCATATAAAAGAAAGAAATGTAAATTACGATACGGTAAAGAGAAAAATAGAGAAGACGGTAGATGATAAATCAAGAGAGAACAGACAAAATTACTCCAAAAGATTTTTATTTTTATGTGTGAACGATAGGAGCATTGACAACAATAGCAGGTAAGTGATGGCAGTGATTAAAGGCTCTGTTCAACAGAACAAAAAACAACTTGTATGGATTGCGCAAAAAATTGTCTTTGTTCTATTTGTAATTGTGACCTCGAAGGTGGAAGTTGGTATTGCAGAGAAAAAATCTTGAAAACCTTTGCAGTTATATAGGCCGTTAGGATTTTGTAAGTTTCAATGAGATCTCCTCGCAAAATCCGGTCATTTGCAGTTGACAGAGTGCATTAACTCTCTCGGGGTATGGCAAGTGTCGTAGGGTATGAACGTATATCGAAGTTTCCTCAGTACACTGTCTAAGAGTTAGGTCCTGGGTGAAGTACGGCACCCAGATGCAGTGACCAAATTCAGTTATTGGCGTAATGTTCGAGGAAGGATGGATTATTACTTTCCTTTTGGATGCTCGGTATAGTCACTAATTGTATAGAAACAGTTGTGCCGCAGAAAAGATTTTACTTGGGACTTAAACTTTTGTATCGAATTTAATCGTTTAATGTCATCTGGCAGAGTTGTAAAATAATGTACATGTATTGTGTGTGCATTTTTTGTAGTGTTGATACTGTCACCTGATAAATATAATTACTACGTCGAGTGTAATTATAGATATCAGCGTTTGCTAAAAATATATTTCCGTTCTTAAGTCAGTCATTTTTAACAAAAAACACTAATTCATATATCAAGACACAGGGTAATGGTAAGGTACCTAGATTAATAAAGAGAGACTTACAAGAATCACATGGGCGGGATTTGCTTGTTATTCGTACAATTCTTTTTTGTAATCTAAAAGACTGGGAGCTATAAGATGTATTTCCCCGGAATATTATGTTATATCGCAGGCGAGAATGAACATTCTCGAAATATACCCAACGAGAAATATGGAGGCTGACTGAATTTGAAAGAATTTTGAAACCATAGCATAAAGAGCTTAATTTAGTGTTTAATTCAATTAAATTGACTTTTCATTTAAGGTTTGACTGAATTGAAAGACCGAAAAAGTTTGTTACCTTAACATCAGTCAATGGCACGCCGTTCATTTTCAATGGAGTACAGAGTTTTTTATTTGAAATGGAAAACAGCATTGGGAATATAGACAACCTTACCTGCCTTAAATGTAACACTTAGAATACACGCTAAATCTAGATGGAATGAATATGTACATCATTATTTGTCAGCATTGCCAACAGACAAGGGACACAATCTGTTATTTTGGCGCACAAAATTGCCACTTTGGGATTTGACTTGACCGACCTAACACTACTGTCCCGGCGAGGAAACATCGCAACCCCAAACCGAGCCGTCCATGTCCCAGTGCGCACGTAGCTTTACACTTACCTGCACTACACTACCACACATGACGGGAGCTTAGAGCTTGTCCCAGTTGCTGGTGGGAGATACGTGGTCGAGGAGAACCCGCTAGCCGACATGTAGGTCGGCGCAGGATATCGCAATTGAGCGTAGGAAGATCGCCGCTACTCCCCACAATAAAACATGCACAACACTTACGCGACTAATGACAGCAGTTGACGCTCCCGAAAACAGTATTCAGTCAACCACTGGGCGCTCTTTATAATATATGATTAATAACAATAATAATGTATAATTAATAAGTCTCGATAAATGAACCAAAACAAAATTGTAGGTGTCATTAAAGTTATAATTCCATTATCCTTTTAGTATGTTTTATTCTTTTTTAGTAAAATGTGTTATAAGAAAATAAACAGGTTTAATGAAAAAGAAACCTCGAGGGACCCAAAAACAGAAGTGCTTCACCTTTTTTTTTTTGGCTGCGCTCGGCTACGTAGATTAATAAATGTTAAGTCTGCATTAAAATTAAATATGCACTTTACAGGTTTCATTCTAAAAATGTATTATATTAAATGTGTAGTATGGATTACGTTATTACACAAAACTAAATATGTAAAACATTCTTGTTCTCGTATTGTCCGATTTAAATGCTGTCTCGTTACAATCAGAGGGGACCTATTCTCGTGGTTTTGAGGAAAGCTATGGTAAAACTGTGTGGAGAGATGCGTGATGTGATCTTCTGTAGTTTTGAGTTGGAATTCTTTGTACTGCTGTTGGTTGGAAATAAACTATAGTGCATTTGTAATTGTACTAAAACGCCCTAACGGGTTTCGGCGAATAGATAACCTTGTTCTGCACGGTGTCAAATTCGAATACATTCTAAGCTGTGTTCGCCGCGTCTCAAGCAACAAACACGCAGGTCGTAGAGTTTCGTGATCAGAGGACGCTCTGATACATTTTTCGTAATTCTTTTGATAAAAAACATTCCCAACAGTGATTTCTCAAAGAAAGAAAAAAAGAAAGAAATAAAATGAATACAAAATAATAAGAACAAAAAATATAAAAAGTACGGGAAATCAAAATAGGCACTAAAAGACAATGATTTGAATAAGCAGTTTTTATCATATATGAATTTAAAGGCACTATAAAACCCTCGCAAAAGTCATTTATTAGATAAACATGACTAATGGAATAAGTTGCTTGAAAATGCATGCAAAAAAATTAAATAGGCCAATAGAGTTCCGAGTGCGAGCTCATCATAACGAAGCCATCGCTAGTCACTATTGATCTATCACAAGTCATTATCAAAATCGAAGAATATAAGCTTTCTCTGACCTCACGGATTCTACATAATACGCTCAGCTGCATGCAAGCTGCGTGCGAGTCAGCTGTCAGCTGATATAATACCACCACTGGTACTTGTACTTATGGGCCCACTGGAGAATGCTCGTGGGAATAAATTTAGTCTGAAAGTTGACATAGAAAGCGGTGTTCTGACAAAATTAGTGTGTAATCCTGGTAGAGATTCCATAAGCTTCCATTCCATTAGAAAAATGGAAATGTTTGTTTGCATGTATCGTTTTTTGATGTGTATGACGAATGATTTCTGTAAAAGGATTTCATCATGTATGACAACAGATGTTTAGACATTAACTTTTATTACGATGTATTTATTGTATCACTAGACACCTGAAGGTTACATACAATTCATCATGAAGTCTGTTCCAATGTCGAATGTAAAGATGAAATGGCTGGATCATTTGAACAGTGTTTGGGCAGGAGAAAATTGTGATAATGTGTGTACCAGGGATGGTGTATTTTTATTATATGAACGCCTAGTGGCAAATAAAGAGGTTGTGATTTCACCTACAACAAGTTCAGTGTTAAATCAAAATCCAGTCCTACCAGATTTTGAGTGTGAATCTCCTTCAGTTGGTGAATTGGAACATCATGTCACAGCTCTTCTTAATTCACAATTTGAACTAGCAAGAAGTGTGTGTGCAGAATCACCATTTTCAGTTGTCCTGAGGCAAAGGTTATTAGTTTTATGGAGAATATTTCATTCCGTATCGACCAAATACCATGACAAGGAGAAGGTTAGTGAAGTATATCTTTTTCTTCATTTTTTAATATTTTTGACATTCTTTTAATCAAATTGTAAACTGATTTTCTTAGTACTCTTTGGCACAGGTAAAATCTCAATCAAGCACACATGACAACGAAACCAGAAGTGAGAGCAATGAAAGTTCTAGTGACAGAAGTTGTTCTTCATCTCAAGCGTTGATTGAGATGGGAGTTAAAACAGGACTTAGTCTTCTTTTTACATTATTACGTCAGAGTTGGCACAATGCTGCTTTAACTGGTAATCTTGAAATATGTTTTGTTATTTATGAAATATTAAAATTAATAAATTTTATATTGTTGTATAATCTTTCCAGGGAGCATTAACCTCTGCAATGAAGTATTAACAACAGCTGCAGAAGTTGTTAGAAATTTACCTCCATTGGCTTTAGCCAATGAGAGTCAGATTACGCCTCTTGGTGCTCAAGGTTTAAGAGAAGTTACTAAATTTTTGAGACAGGCTGCTTTACCATCATCTGGTGCAGATACTACTGGTAAATCATTTTATTAAAAGAATGCTTGTAGGTGCATCAGTTTGCTTTCTTCTACACACTTGACGATTGCGCCGGGCAACTAATATCCAACTTAACTTGTGTTGCTTAATTTATTGAACCATATGATACTGTAATATAATAAAATATTGTATAATACTGTCTTTATTTAAATGTATTAAGATGTTTCTTTTCTTGTTTATCTTGTAATGACAGTAACTCTTTATTGAGATTCAAAAATTTTACTTCTGCTTGTACTTGTAAAGGTAATGAGATTGTAAAGAGTTGAAAAATAATTTCTGTTGCAGAACTTCATTTTGATTAGTTTTATCTCCTATTTATTAAGGGTTCTATTCATGGTGCAATATTTAGTGTGTTGAACGTAAGTATTGTAAATTAGGAACTTCAGTCCTTTGCGATCTGTATTTTGTATTTCACAGCAGCTGTAAAATAGTGAACTGTCAAAAGCTCTATTAGGCTTGGAAAAGCAAAATATGTGTTAGAAGCAGAAATCTGGGGTTAATGCCTGTATTTTTTCTTCAGATATAACACAGCCAAAGCAAATTGTAGGATAAATTTTATGTATTGTACATAGTGTTTTTATCAAGAAGTTTAATGGACATTCTATATAAAGCTCACATATTATCTTTATATTCAAGGTCGTTAGAAACTGTAAATAACAATCTTATTATTAATATTATGAATTTTAATGCTTCAGGTATTGTCACTCACAAATTAAATGGGTTTAAACTATTTCTTTAATATTTTAATAATACATATTTAAATTGATTAGTAAAAGTTATGACTGAGAAGTTGTGTTTTCATTATTGTTTTTTGCAGGGCAACTGCTTGCTTCAGAGTTACTCTTAGCATTGGCTCTTCAACGTGGATCCCTCAGTCATCTTCTTGATTGGATTGACATGGCTCTTTGTGCATCTGCATCTAATCCTACAGCTACTATCACAGCTACAGTTTTTGTTGAAGCTATCTCTCTAATGCATTCATCTGTTGCTGGTACTGCAGGGGTGATTTCTTCTGTTCAAAAACCTACTGCTGATGAGAGAGGCCATGTACCTCTTTATCAAGCTGCTATGTACCTTATGGAAGAGGTATGCAATTACTGGAATAACTATTATTTTGAATCTTTTTATTGTCTTGATTTTGAGAAATGTTTAAAGAGTAGAAAAAGGCCAATAATAGACAAAGTCAGAGGAGGATCCTCTCATTTTACTGCCATGCTGTTGTGATACCTTAGTCCGACCATGAGGACTGGAGTGGTGGAAATCTCTGGTTACTAGGGACATTAAATATGAGTAATGTCATAAAAACAGAATTCATATTATGCATTGTTTAATTGTTTTCTTAGTTTAAACTTAACGTGATATGAAAAATTTTTTCTACATTTGTTCCTCTGCATTGTGGACTGGAGAAGACAAGAATAGATGTTAGATTTTAAAAAAGTGATGCAGGGATTCATAATTTGTCCATGCATCTTTCTTTGTTGCCATAAAGAGTTTGATTAGCAATGTGCAGATTTTTTTCTCAGAAAGGAGTAGTGGATCAGATAGCTTGGGAAACCTGTAATGTATGATCAGCAAAATAGTGTCCTGGAATGCTTTGATATTTTGTTGTGTGTGTTGTCTTTTTATTTTATATAGCTTTAACTTTATTATTGATCATATGTGAACAAAAAAAAGAACAGTTACAGTATACCAGATCCAAGATACTGTAACAGGGGAGCTTGATACATTATCATGGATCTGGTATACTGCAACTGTGTGTGTGATATTATATATATTATATAATTTTTAGTAATCCTCCATTAATATTTCAATTTGCCATATCCGTCACATCTCGTTGCAGTCAGTTGTCAAGAGGACCTCCAAGTAGCATCTCCGCATATGCGCCCGCGCCCCTGCTTTGCCGATCAGCGGCCAGAATTGGGAAGGAATTAGGATTTGGGTAGGATTTAGAATGCAGGGTTTGTGAAGCAGTCAAACTGGTTTTGTGGAAACAAATTTCAGATGAAATTGTCTGGGATACAACGGAAATCAAACCTGGGCCTCCTGGGTGAAAGGCGAACAATTACAATCTGAGCAACAAGATGATTTTAAAATTAAATTTATGCATAGAATAGTTTTATTCTTGTACAGAATTTGTTTACACATTTCATACATTATTTAAACAATTTGAAATGAAATATCAATGAAAGAAAAATACATTACACTCTTGTCTATTAAAACGCAGCAGCAGCATCAACATCATCAAAGAATTAGCTCGAACAGCCGTATTAATTTATTGGTTAATAAAAATAAGCAACAACAAAACAAATAATAAAATAATAATAATTAATAATAATTAATTAATAATTAATATATAATAATAATAAAATAATAATAATAATAATAATAATAATAATAATAAATAATAATAATATAATAATAATATAAATATAATAATATTAGTCATACTGAGTGAAACAAAAAAGCTTACTAGGTCCTCCTAAAATGGAATTGTATTTAAATTTGATTTCAATTTACAATCTGCTTTTATTAAAAAAAAATTATTCAATTAAAAGTTGAAATTTTTGATGTTTGCAGTAACATATTCATGTTAATCAGTAATATGCATTACCCAACGAGATTTACATTTTAGCTACTAAGCTTAATATGGAAAGTATTTATTGCTTAACTTTGATTACTCAAAAATGAGTGTTTATGGCAGTTTTCATTGGATTATTCATTAAAAAAAATAATATCCATTCACAATTTTCATAGTAGAATCTGAAAAAGGGGGAAACAGAAGTATAATTAAGCTTGATCTTAAGAGTAGGCTTTAATGGCTGGACGCTTGTGTCACATGGAGAACTGCACAGATGGTATCCCAGAGGAGAGATGTGTGTAAATACATGAGCAAAAGTAAGTTGGGGAGTTGTTCACTTGAGAAATCATCAATAGTTTTGTCACTAATGCATATAAATAAAAAAGACATTCAAATAGCATCATACAATAATGTGTATAATTTCAAATACAGAATACACTTTATTTCAAGAGTTCACTGCTCTAAGCACTTTTTTATATACTGATATTTAAACCAAATAAAATTGTTCTGCTGTTGAAGAAACATATCTCTCACAGCAATTTTTTTTTTTATTTCACAAATCTTACAAATTAAATTTCAAATATCCATCTGAACTGGTTCACTATGTCTCCTTGTCAATTAGTGCTAGAGATTCAATCCTCAATATTTCATAAAATTGCAATACAAAGATTCTCATGCCGCCTGAATTATGGTAAATATCTCAATTCATTTTTGAGAATTGTATATTATTTTACTTACTAGTTTCTCAATGATGTGGAGAAGAGATGGTTCACCTATTAACAAAGGCTAGATTGACCCATGCAATATATGTGTTATTGCTTATTTTTGCCATCAACAAAGGTTTGGAAATTTGTAAAACAATTGAAGTTTTTTCAAGACAATTGGTGTTGGCTTGATAAAATTCCTTGTTACTCTTCATGGCCTTAAAAGAGTTTGTAACTTTTTCCCCAAATCTTTTCTTTCAATTCATAAATTTTGTATTAGCAAAATCAGTAATAGCAGCATTTTAACTCAAGAATGTCATACGCTATACCTTTCAACGTTAGGCGTCACTTATCTGTGATTGGAAGTTTAAAACCCGTTGCAATACAAATACAATATTTAATTTTAATGTGTTTTTTTACTTGTAATATCAAAATTAGAGTTAGGGCTGGTGGCAATAAACATGAAATTAATGTAAATTCACACTATTCTACCATTTCTTTTT